TAGAGTAGAGTAGAGTAGAGTAGAGTAGAGTAGAGTAGAGTAGAGTAGAGTAGAGTAGAGTGGAGATTGGAGCCTCACTAAATTGTCAACAGAACAAGACGACATTTAAATGGAGAGGGCACACAATGCGAACATGTAACCAGGGCTGCATTAAGGAAGTTGTTTGGGGAATGCAAGGAACGCCAAGACCTTTGCTGGCATACCTTTTTTAAAAGTCCTTTTCAGACGAGCAATACATCGCCGCCTTCATCAGGAATTTAAAGTGATGGCTTTTTAGGATTCAGACATGAATGTTTCTTTGTTCACACAATGGGACATTCACAGAAAGAGACAATGCTCACGCGATGTTTGAGAGAGAGAGAGACGGAGTAAACCGACATGTTATATTATCACATTAACGTAACGATGTCTGAAAGGGGCTTGTGTGAAAAGTAGCACAGCCAATACTAACCATATTTACAATGTGTAATAAAGAGAGAACTTGTATTTCACAATTTGCGTGGCCTTATTGGTTTTATTTATGAATAAATGCGTGTATTTCTTGTTTCTGTCCCCATCACAATAGCCATTTGACTGATTTGAAAGCTCTTTTGTATTGTTTTGCAGTGGCTTTGAAGACGAGAGGCCCGAGGTACCCATGCTGTTTCGGGACATCCCGTCCCTCCTGATTATCTTTGTGCTAACAATGCCACAGCCTCTGCGGAAAGGTACGCTTCCCATGTCTGCATCACGACGCTACGAGAGAGCAGGGAGCGTCTCGGCGGCTGCTCCACAAGGGCAGCCCCATTATCTGTAGTAATCGGCGCCGAGTGCTGGAAAGAAGCATTTCACGTCTCTTATCTGTGCTCCTGTTGCCGTTATTTGGCCGTGAGGATCAGAGAGACGTGACCCTGGTGATGGGAGGGCTGCACCTCCTTCGTGTGCCCTTCATCTATGGCTTGTCGCCTCATCTCCTCCATGTTGGTACTTCACTAGAAAAGGCGGAGGGCCACCCCGAAAGACCTGCTCCAAACGCACTGAGGTCTCTTTAAACGAGAGAAGTGTCGCAGCAGGACAGATCATTTCATTGATGACTGAAATAGTTTGACCGATGGAGCGAGGACGATTTGGATTTGGAATAATTGGTAAAAGTGACTTAAATGGAAAGTGTAGCTTTGGGTTGAAACAAAGGATTGTTTGTTTGTCAGATTGTTCTCAAGGTGGTAGTGCTTCACAGCACGTAGCATATCATTGTTACAGGCTCTCTCTTTTTTTTTTTTTTTTTTTTTTTGTTGAGAAATAGAGCGGTCGAGGTCCTTTGCACTTAATTGCTATGAAGGGATCACCTCCTTTTCTTAGTTCCACCTTTTTAATTGTGTGTACTTACAGTTGTTGTGAGCAGAACAGTGGAGCTGTCAGTAGCTCTTTGCTGGAGAAGACAACAAATGGCTCTGTGTACTTTTAAGCCAAACTTGAATATCCTTCAGCCTACATTTTCCACCTGAAACGCTCTACTAATTATCCTGCACTTATCCACTGTTCAGTGAGGCTCTCTATGCAACACTGTGAAATACAAAGGCCCTGTGAATAGCTGCCAGCCTTCTTTTTTTTCATGCTTTTAAAATTCACACATTGAAGTAATGTTTTGCGTTAATTCATCTATGTAAATTGTGCTTCTCCACTTCTGTGTTTGGTTCCATGTGTCTTGGTCTGTATAATCAGTGCCACCTTCTCTCCCTGTGTAGAGCACTTCACCTGTGTGGTGAAGATGCTGTACAACCTGCAGTTCACCCAGGCTCTGGCTGCACTCTCAACCAAGTTCAGCCCAGAAGAACGGCAGGCCTGGAGCACATCTGGAGCACTCAAGAAGGTAAACGTGAGCTCACGTGAGCCTGATTCATAATGACATGCTGGTGCGAAAACGTATTCCCCTTATTCTTGCAGTGTAACTAAGAAAATGTTCTTATAAGAAGGTCATGCTGTAAAGATGATGGCACAGCACTTAAAACAGAATAAAACCTTTCAGAACCGCTGTAATGGTTCTCTGTGCAGTTTCAACCCTGCTGGTCAACATTTTCAAAGTCTACTTGTATCTATGACGGTAAATCCTTGCGTATGACTTAGTATTGAGATGAATCGAGCCACTTTCGGTTTCATTTACGTGAGTTCCTCTGTCGATCCTCATTATCTTGAATAGTGCGATTGCTGGAGAGCGTTGCATTAATTGGCTATCTGTCTTCAGTCTATTAAATCTGTGTTGGTGAGTAGCTGACTTGAATGTCAAAAGACAAATGGCTGGAACCCTCTTTAGGGTGTTTCCATCCATAATGGAGGTTTGGATTAGTATTTTCCGACTGCATTGTCATCAACAGTAGTCCCGGCATTCACAAGCTGCCATTAAGATGGATTTCAAATCCACAATGAGGACGGCATCCACATTTGGTGGAACGCCGTTGTAATTAAATTGGAAGTAGTTAAAGAAGATGCGGTCTGAACAAAGGTCAGAGCCTGGAGGGAGGAAATCCATGGACTTGAAATTCCTCGCCTATAAATCTATGACAAAGTACAGCAGATGAGATAAGACCGCTGTTTTATATTCTACCACCTCCAGCCTGATAAATGCATGCAGCCTTTCCTCCATATAACATACTCGCCAAAACCGCTTTATTGTTATCAGAACACACATTCGGTAATGTCTCCACCACTTATCAAATATTATATTGTGAGGACAGAATGATTGTCCTCTGCTTATTCTGCATAAGTCATTATACAAGTGACGCATTCTGATCTCCAATATATATTGTGATATGTGACATTCTTCTACTTAAAGACTAACAATAGATTGATAAGCCTATGCCCATTTTATTTCTTCTGTGTGTTTTTGTCCTTGGTTAAGGGTCATGCGCTTGTATTATTCATTTTTGGAATCCCTGCAGGCTTTGATAAATGTTGTCTGCAAGAAACAGCAGGTATCCATCCATCTGTGACATCATTCAAAGGGGCGACTCAATGAATGAGTGGCGTATGCCTTATGAAGGGCTAATTTAGACTGCTGATATTTGTCATGGCTTCATCAGTTTGAGTTCACGTTACTACCTCATTCTGCAGGTGAACCAGAGTTCTTCCATCCTCCTCCTCCTGCAGACGGAAGGCTTTCTTTCTGACATAGATAAGCGTTGGGAGGGACTGCAACAAAATACTTTGGTTTAACGTTCTCCCCTCGATTTAAGATCAAACCCGAAATGTATATATTGAAGTGTAAATCTTTTTATATGTTTGATTTCATATCGTCAATGCTTTTATTTTCTGCCACAGAATGTCGCAAATGCCGAGACGTCGTTCGAAGCGCTGCTCAGTCACATTATCGGTGAGCTCTCTGAGGACAAGAGTGTCTACAAGGTGAAAACTGAAGAGACGTCGATGGTGAGGCACTAAAATGACTGTTACGTGCTTCAGAACGTAACTGCCTTCAAGGTGGTGCTCCCTATCCCCTCATTCTTGTCTTTGCTCTTTTTCATTTTCTTTGAAACAATGAAATGGCCATTACCATGACAAACGGGGGTCTAATGTCTCCACTAATCTCCAGGGGAGATATATATCACGGTGTTGTCAGCAGGCTGTTGGCTGGTTATTGATCAAGTGCTGCTGTTATTTCCCTCCCCAGCTGAGCTCCAGTGTGTGGTCTCCACAGTCTATCGAGTTCAGCCTTCAGCAGTTCTGTCTGCCCTTCTTGCGACTCTCGTGCCTCCTGCAGCATCACCTCTACGGAGACAACCTAACTGGCTGCCCGGTATGTTTTACAATACAAATCATGCAACCTGCTGAAGCTTACCCTACCGTTGTATCCTTGCAGCAAGAACGATAGTTCTACTCATCGTCATTCAAAGGTGTGGGTGAAAGCAAAGAGAGTGTGACCTCACCAGCTGCTTTCTTTTTGTGTTTGTGTCCTCAGGAGGAGGAGGAGTTCGTGTCCTTGGCTGTGTGTTTGGAGCTCTTACCCTCGGCCCCTCAGCCTTCCAAAATCGTGCACAGTGCCTGGTGTCTGAATTGGGCGGTCAGCGCCTTTGGCTTGGTGACACAGTGGTGCACTGAGGTCACAGGGCTCACTCAGATGCAGGCAGAGCAGTCATTGGTATGTGTGTGAATTTCAGACCAGAGAATATATATTTATATATATATGTATACTGTAGTTCTGCCCTTTTAACAAACTAACGCCAGTTCCCAGTGGATTTCATTGTGATGTATGGGTTTGAATTTCAGAAAATCTCAGCATGTAGTCGAATGAGAATTCGAGCTCTTGGAGTTTTCAAAGAAAGTGTGAATACTCTCTCGATGCAATTAAATATTCAAACCATGTATTTAGAACTTGATGTCCTGTGAACGATTCATGTGCCTCAAGTGCTATTGACACTTTGAAATGAGTTTCAACCTTGGTTGATAAGGTCCATGGCTATTAAGAGTCTCTGAGGAGAACGACTGGCATAACTAGCCATGTGTCTTATTCCCCTCGTCCGCCAGTATTTCAGTATCCTTGAACGTTGTTCATCATTTTGTGAAAATGTAGAGTGTCTTGCATGTCAATTAAGGTTGCCAATACTTAACAAAGGATGTTATTTATTATTACATCTTAGAGCCGAAGGACGTCATAAAAAGTTGGTAAATTAATTTTTATTCGGGCTGACGGCAAGAAAATGCTTTAGAAGATGTATCTCTTGTGAGCAGCCGGTATCTTTATTTGACAGTTTGGGGTTTGAAGATAAAATGTATTGACTGCAGTGCGCAGTATATTTCTGGCCTGATTTCAGTATATTTGACGTACTTCTGTATTTCTTCTCCTCTGAAGACATTGCTTGTCCAGGAACCTCAGTGGACAGCCCCCCGCCTTCTCCAGCTGCCCGACAACTACAATATCATCTTCCAGTACTATCACAGGAAGGCCTGCACCGCCTGTAAGAAGGTGCCAAAAGACCCCGCCCTCTGCCTCGTTTGTGGCGCCTTCGTCTGTCTCAAAGGCGTGTGCTGCAAACAGCAGGGTATCTGTGAATGTGTGTTGGTAAGTTCCTCGGTGCTTCAAAATCAGGGCCAACACAACCTAATTTACAGGTTTAACAAATTACTAATGTTATACCTCATTGCAAGATAAATTTACATATCTGTTACAGTGTCGTGATGGTTTTTAATAATTTCTTTTGACAGCACTCCCAACATTGTGGCGCAGCTACAGGCATCTTTCTACTGATTAATGCCTCAGTCATCATCATCATCCGTGGACATCGTTTCTGCCTGTGGGGTTCTGTTTACCTTGATGCCCACGGAGAGGAGGACCGTGATTTACGGTACGGCTCATCACACACACACTCACACTTCACACTCACACTTCACTCATAATTCTGTACCGTTCTTTGTGCATTGCATTGTGGGACCATAGTTATTATAACATCATGATTACAAACAGAACAGTGAAGTACAAACACAGTTTTCTCAAAATCTTCTTCGAATTAGGATCTAGTCTGAAATTGGGGCACATTTCTTTTTTTAAATACGTGTTGCTGCAAATATAACCCAGTTCTCACATTTGTTTCCCCCCCTCTGGCTTTTCTCCAGCCGTGGCAAGCCTCTCTTCTTATGTGAGGAGAGGTATCGAGTGTTGGAGCAGCAGTGGGGTTCACACACCTTCGATCACATCAATAAGCGTTGGGGGCCTCACTATAATGGACTCTAAGATCTTCCAAAGTCCACTGAAAACAGCAACCCGTGACGGAGAATTTTTTTCTTGTTTTGTTTTTTTTTGTTTTTTTTCTAGCTTATGTGTCTGCCTCGATCAAAATATTCGAGGACTCTTAACGTGATAAACACAAACATCCCAGTGAGGGTATTGCTGCCACAGCCTTGGTTTATGTGAAGTTTGGTGTACAATCATACCTAAAGATTAACACGTGTGTGTGTGTGTGTGTGTGTGTGGGTGTGTGTGTGTGTGTGTATGTGTATGTGTTTAAGTGATTTTTTTTTTTTTTTTTTTTGTGTGGTTTTCAACAGGGAAAAACAGAATTCGGTAAGATCAAAGTGAAAAGCACAACTTTGCCCAGAAATTCAATTGGTGTGGAACATATTCATTCGGGTTAAAAATAAAAAATAAAAAATCAAGTGCTGATTGTCCCTGCAAAGTTTGATTACTTTTTGCACCATTTACGATGACGTTAAATGCATATCCCTTTTTATTTATCGAAATGTGCTCTGCTGTGCTGGCATGAGTTTCGGGCTCCTGACGAGTGTAGCGATGTTATTGCAATGTGCACTCATTATCTGCAGACATGTGAGGGTAGGCAGGACAAGTCCACCCATCAACACACGAGAGTTTTTTTGCAAACAAGCAAAGGCTCTTTTTATGGGTCTAGTTGCAATCCATCCTCAGGAATTTCTTTTGTGTTTGCTGTTTAAAATACGTTTTTAGATATTTAAATAAATGCTGCTGCTCATTGTTCAAGTAAGTAATTTTAACTTTTGTGAAGATTTTTTTTCCTTTTTTTTTTTCTATGGTTGTGCTTTGAGTTTATGGAAGATGGCTTGGAATGTTGACTCAAACTCACTTTAATGTTTAAGGGAGGTCTGCGTTCACCTCACTGCGCTCACTACAGATCTCGGTGTCCCGCCCCATCGGGCAGCGCTTTCTCTTCCTGGTTGGTTCTGAAGAAGAAACTCTGTAACACAGCTAAAGCTACAAACCTGTCAATGATCGATTCCTTGTCATCACGCCACAAAACGCCACAAGTCAAAAGAATTTAAGTAGCATACATTCTTAAGAGAAAAAAAGTCATTGCACTGATATGGTGTTCTGCTGCGCTGGCAAAACTGAACACCATGACAGCAGAAATGTTTTATTGGCTTCTGTCAAGTTTTCTCCAGAAACTCTTGTGAAATTCAGTGACATTCAAGTTGCTTTTGAGAAGAAATGTCAATACTCTTCACCCGTCTGTGATGACAAAATACGTTTTTCCCTTTTTATGCTCTTGATTGTCGAGTCCTAGCTGCAGTACGGAGCGTTTATTGTGATGACTATCCCTTACTCATGCGTCATCTAGCCGTGATTAATAGTTGCATTCCAACATAAAATTGTCAGATTTGAGTACACTGTGCATGATGTCCTTTTTAAAGCCACCATTCGTTAAGTTAGCTACTTGATTTTTTTTTTTGATTATCTTTTTGTTTCTTGGAGAGGAAATTGATCCAGCTGTGCCTGCAACGTAGTGTTTTTTGAGTGATAAACAGCACGCTGCTGATATCAATGACGTCTGATTTTTAAATGCTCGGCCACATTGTGCGGCATCGAGGGATCTTTAAGGAACAAGTTAACGCTTGAAAAACCTTCCTCTTGAATTCATGCATTCTGCTTTTGTGTTTACCGAGTTTCTCTCTTCTTTATTTTTGCAGTACCCATTTTGTAAATGACCGCAACCAAATAGCCAATGAGTAATGGGTGTAAATTGTAACTGAAAGCTCTTGTGTGTTCTCCTGTATGAATGAGGAGAGAATACAGTACATTACTGTAGGTGCTGACTCAAACTTTCTGTTTGACCAGAAGGTATGACTTGGGACATTTAATGCAAAATGTAACATATGTGAATAAAATATAAACACTGATTTCTGTCTCTCTTTGTTTTCTGTTGCCAATTTTTCTTTATCTACACATGACTGTTAAGAATCTTTTCTAACCGGTGTAATTTCTGTGAAATCTGACTGACATGAGTATTAGACGGACAAGAGGGAAAACAGGATTTCATGCCACTGCTATCATCTTCGCTGCATAAAGCTCAAATATTACGTTCTGTAATGACCTTTCTCTGGTCGCAATCCACTGCTGTAGTGAGGAAATGTGGGTGGTTGGATACAGACATCCACCTCCAAACTGTGTCCACCAGGGGTCTCAGTTCACTGGAGCTCATCAGATTATAACATCCGCAGACGAATCCTGTGACCTTTGTGAAAGTATAATGTGACTTTATACAAGAATACAGCTCGTTTCCCAAAGCTGCTAGATATTTAAATGCAACTGAGCAGATGCATCAGTACACACTACTGAGATCACTGAATTATGTTCAGTGTATGATGGCTGTAAGTGGGTTGGTCTTTTTCAGAGAAAACAGGAAAAATAAAATAAAACTCGGAAGAAATCATACAATGATTCAGAGGTGACTACTGTGGATTTCTGAATAAACAGTTTATCCAACTGGCCGTTTCAGAGCACCAGAAAGACCTTTCAATGCCACGTGACTGAGCACTTTGAGGAAAATTGGGTCGAGGTTTCATAAACATTGGAGGCCCTCTGGTTAATGAGCAATGGCTGCACAAAGCCTCTCTTTTCTGCCAACTAGGCTAAAAGAAAAAAAAAATCTAGTATTGACCAGCTGAGGAATTGTATCCGGGTTGAACCACCGAGAATCTGTGACAATGTTCCTGCAGAGAGATGCTGGAGGTAGTGCTGCTGCGAGCATCACTGGACATTTCCTCAGGTAGGTACACTGCCACCCCACACACACCATCAATAGACTATTGAAGTTGATCTTGGTCAGCTCAGAGCTTCCGGTCTGCAGAACAACATGCTCCGATGTCTATACTGTTAATAATTAAAATCCCCTCGCTCAGTAAACAGGGAAATCAATTCGGACATGTTGCTATGGACGGTAAGCTGCACGTATAGACTTGTTGGTTAAAGCCAGTAACAGTGAGGTTTGTGTACAACTGTCCACAGCGTTGGCTGCGTTGACCCCGATACACAAAGATGGATACAAGACTGAGCAGTAATCCGCTGATGTGTGAAACACTTTCCCCTGTCTTGCAGAATTTAGAGATGGAAATACGGAGGCTGCGTACTCAAGGTAGGAGTCGTTTTCTCATCATGCAGAACATGCACTTGCCTACACTTTCAACTGGATTACTTTAATGATGGTGCTATACTTCACCTACAGGCTTTACTTTGCAAAAATATGCACACAGTGGTGTTCATCAACAGTATGAACTGCTTTGTTTTACAAATCCAACTTTTAAAAACCTCAACAAATAGTTGCAAACCAGAGAAGAGAAATAATGAGAAAGAAAATACGAATTGGTCTGGAGGGTCACAAACTTATGACTATTTAACCATTGCTTTGGCTCAGTTTTTCCCTCAGGATATCATTTCATTTGCAAAACTGAAGACAAAATGCCATCCTTCTAAAGTAATATTGCCCTCAAAATCTCAGGTAGCACACAAAATGAAATCATCTGTATCAAATATGATAATACATTGCATATCAATGCCAACTTATCATGACAAAAGCAATTCGAGAAGGACTGCCATTCATCCAAAAGTCTGTATCTCAAATGATGTTGGAAAATACGTTTTTCGATGCTATTTAAAATTCTCGCGTATGCTGCATTGGTCAATATATAGATATTGAATTCTACAGTCAAACTTTACAGAAAGCCTTACATTTCTGAAGGCAAAATGATTGTTATTGTATTTCACTGTATTATTTTAGTTTTTCTGTTCTGTATCATGACAGTTACTTCTCTTTCAAGACATCAAACATTACATATTTCAATCACTTGTAGGTTTAATCATCTGAAATCCAGAAAGCTACAGTGATGATGAAATGCTGGAAAACATATAACGTTAAACCATAAATGTACACGACTGTAGCACACACTCAATATACAATGCAAACAAAGGAAATTGCATTTATAATGTATTTCAGTTGAAGCTATGTTGTTAAAATAAGGGCAGTCTATTGAATCTGTACACTTAATATGATATGAGGTGGCGGTATTCTGAGGCTGAGCATCTGATTTAGTGTTTACTTTAGAATATTGTATTTTGAAGAAAGAATAAGAAGTTTTTTGGATTGAGAGTTTTGCATTTTGAAACCCTGTTATATAAAAACCGAGCCAACGCAATCGTAACATACTGACACATGGAGTTATAATTCTCAGTTTTGTTTGAGTGATGCCACAGTTTGGTGATAAAAATACAGCATTTCTACAAATAATATACATTTTTTTTTGCATTTACACAAACAGTATTTCCCTGTGTGCAGTGCATCATGTCGCAGTCACTGCTACAGCTGTCAATTAGCTGACAGAGATTCATTTCTGACAGTGGATTAGGTTTTTAGATTGTTTACTTCAACCGTGATGTTGGCTTGTTGTTAACTAGATTGATGGTTTGTGTATTCAAAGTTGTCATTTGGAGATTATTAATTATGCAGGTGGACTGCTGAGTTTAGGTGACTTAAACCACAAAAGAACAAAAGTCTTTGTTTGTGGTGGTGTGAGGCTTTGGTCGTCCAGGGTGAGAAAAAGGGCACAGTGCTTTCAGGCTGGCTTGTGGCTAGTGGAGGTTTACTGCAAAGCCTCCTCACATCCCCTTAAAAGGGATTATATATTTTCTCTCTGCAGATTTACCAAAGGGTTTACCAAGTGGAGTTCCCGCAAGGCTTCACCAGAGAGGGTAGGATTGTGCGAGTTTGATGGAAGCAGAAAATTAGATTAGTCACTTTTACTTTTCACTGTTTCATGGTGACAAAGACGGCCCCTGTGCTGCAGCTGTTCACATCATCTAAAGCTATTATCACCTCCAACAATCACGGAAACTCAGAATTATGCAGATGTGCCGTAAATGCAAATGTTTGGGGGGGGGGGGGCATATTATTATGCACAAAAAGCGTCTGCATTTACTATCACCACAAAGCAAACACTTAACCAAACACATATCACAGTAGTAGTTTGATGATGATGATTTTTTTTTTTTCTCCATCCTTTCACTGTGTCACAGAGAAGCTCTTGAACAGCAGATACGATATCCCTTTTTCAGGTACGCTGACAGTATGGTAAACAAAGGGTAACCTGAGCGCTGCCATTGAGGACCTGTGGTGTTCTGTTCTGCAGCTGCAATGATGTGTCTCCTGTCCATTTAAGAGAACAGCATTTGGGTTTTCTCTTTGTTTTCTGACAAGGAGACAGAAAACGTCTTTGTGGATGAGAACTAATGTTGAGTAAATCTGATTCATTTGGGAACAATACGTTAAAAAAAGAGTGCTCTGATGCTAGCAACTCTGTCAAGACTCAAACAGAAGTCAAGAAAATATGAAGAAGCCTGTCTTGCTCTCAATTCTTTTGTTCGTGACCCCTTTAAAACGTTGCTATGTCTCCTTGCTACCTTTCTTCACAGGCTGCACGATGTATACAGGTTATACCCAGGTCTAGAGGAGTATCCCCTTTACGGATTAGACAAAAGAATGAAGAAATAATCCTAACTTTCTGTAGCAGAAATATGTCTTCCCCCTTAGATCAATCCTGTGACCCACATGTTTGGCACAACTGCTCTACTCCATTGTCAATATATAGCAAGAGAGCCTTTCGTGTGTAAAAAAACAACCCATAAATGTTTTTTTTGCACAAAAGTTGCTAAAGCATAGAGAGAATCGTCCTGTCCATGTTCTTAATCATTTCAATGAAATTCAACTTGACTCCTTTTGTGACTAGTTTCCCCAGCATTGTAACAAGTTGATCGATTATTTATGTGACAGGGAGGGGCTTAGGGTGAGAAGGCTTGAGACCTTTTTGGCCTCCAAAGGAGGCATGATAGAAAAAGTATGTATGAAAATTTGAGCATTTTTTATGTATCAAGTTCTGACAATATTAAAGCTATTTCCAGCTGCTGTGACCACCTAATTAGATCCCTGGGGCTTTAAACTCATGGCAACAGCAACATCCAGTGTTGTGGTTTATCGTGTAGAATAATGTCTGGATTGTTGTCACTGTGTGTGAGTGAGGCTCTTTGTCGATATAAACATATTGATTAGGATGCCCGATTATTAATGATATTGTAAACTCCTACAATGGGTTAATATTGGAGTTCTGGATCTATATTTGACTTCATGGACAGGTTGTCTAGTGGAATCCTTTGCACTTTGCACATTTGCTTATTACATTGTTGTCACTGGCTTACAATCAATTAAGACAAAGCTTTCATATGAAGTGGAAACAAGCTCGATGTGTAAATAACATTATGTACAGAAGGGGAGACGACATGTCATGTGACCTAGCAACTATCATGAGCTTCCTGGTAACCCGTGTGCAACCTGAGAGGCTTCATATCAGCCACCATTATGAGTGGATACATCTGCCACCTGAATATTTAACAGTGCTGCAGATCAGGTTGCAGATTACTGGTGAATTATTAACCCCCATAGATTAGCATGAATTACACGGGAGCGTTTTGGTGTGAGGGAGAGACAAACACTTTCACAGAAGCAGGTATGTGTGACTCCTGGCTCGGTGATCTGAGCTTTATTGATCTTTGACTATTTAAGTGAATATTTTTTTGGGGGGGGGGTTGCAGACTATGAATTAAATGTCTTTTTTTAAATTGTTGTTCAAGCAGTAGGTGAGATTATTTGTGATGTGTAACCTAAAGTTATGCTTGACTGATGCACAATCTGCTGTTAAAGTCTAGCTGTTGCTGTTGTTGTGTTTGGTTTTTAACAGCTTTGCTTGTTTGAAAGCTCTTGCAGAACAAGATGTGTATTATTCGACATTAGCCTCTAATTGACTAAAACAATAATCATTCTCATATGATCTGCAGCGGCACATCTGATGCTTAA